CATGATTAAAGGGTTCTTTGCATGGAAGTGTTCTTAAGATTGATGGAGAATTTGCTGTAAATGGTTCTATATAGCACCCAAAAGGGTTCTTCTATTGTTACGTTGTCAAGCTTGTAACAATAGATAAACCCTTTTGGGTGCTATATAGAACCATTTTCATAAAGGTTCTATATAGAACCATCTGTAGCACATTCATACACATTACCAATCTGAAGAGCCCTTTCATGATGCAAAGAACCCTTTAATCATTCAGAGGGTTCTTTAAGTGGTCATGGCTCTACATAGAACCGCTTTCTTTACTAAAGAGTCCTTGAAGCATCATCATTTGTAAGAGTGTAGATGGTTTCAAGTCCTTTTCAGTAGCAGCTTTTTCCCAAAAATAAAAATAAATATGGCAGTTTATTGATGAACGCTACTGCTGTCATCATCGCAGTTACTGCTGTCTAAGGAGGTGTTGCATCTAATGCATTTGATTGACAAGTAGGTACTATAAAGTGAAACTATAAGGTCAGTAGAGCTGATATAATGGATAGTGAGTGTAGATACAAGGAGGTGTTTTAGTGAAGTGGCTGGTTGCTGTATATTTACAATGCTGACATGCAGATATGGCTGTGAGGGTGTGCTGACCCAGAAATTAACTGGAAATTTGCATTTTGGACAGTAAGGTCCCTTAAAAATGCTCATGCGCTCATGTTTGCTGTTATTGTTGTCCAACTGTTTTTCAAATCAAATCAAATCAAATCAGATTTATTGTCACATCACAAGAGTACAGGGACACAGGTGAGTGAAAAACTTGAGTGCGAGTTCCACAAATTATGCAAAGAACAGTATTTACACATAGATAAACAAAACTATAGATAGGATAGAAGAATAGATAAAACCAATTTAACTAAAATATATACATATAATCCTACACAATAACTTAAAAATAATAATATTGCACCGAGACATATAATATTGCACTGGGAATGTAGGGTGGGTGTAATCAACTATATACTATATATAGTAATGGATATTACAATGCTATGTGGATGTGCAGATAATCACACTAGGTGTGGAGGTAGAAGATGGTACAGTAGGTGGCAGAGTATTTAGTAAAGTGCAAGGTACAGGAAGTTAAGTGGAAGCGCAGGGGGAGAGTATTGTCTTTGGATAGGTATTCAAAGTCCAGCTATGCAAGTAAAGTGCGGGAGTACAGTGGGTGCACGTACGTGTAATGGGAAGGGTTGGGCTGGGCAGAGCAGTGATTACTGGCTGTTCAATAGCCTGGTTGCATGGGGGATAGCCTGGTTGCATGGGAGTGATTGGAGTGATTTCCATATCTGACCACGAATTCAACCTGTTTTTCTTCAAACCTAGATAGCTTGTTGAAGCTGTTTAGCTGTTGAAGCTGAGTTTAGGTTTGTTCCAGTAGCTGCTTTTCTCCAAGAAAGAAATGGCGTAGCAGAAAATTTACCATGCTAACATGCTAGCATCAAGAAATAAATAACTACAATAAAAAAAAGCATCAAATGATGAAATGATGAAATTTTAGTATTTATACTCTTTTATGTCCATATTTCAACAGAATGTCATTACTCCTAATGTGCGGTTCATCTTCAAACATGCTTCAGTAGCTGCTTTTTTCCATAAAAGTAAAATGGCTAATTTACTGCGCTAACATACTAGCTAATTCACTTGAACATGGGCATGTGAAGCTGGTAGCAGGCATATATTTAGTAACATATTCTTTATTCTATATGCAAGTTTACCACATCTCTTCTGAAAAGGTCTGAATTTGAGGCCTGTTCCTCAATAGTATTGAACTAGCCTGTTAGCATATTAGCTGCCTGCTGGCCTCGTCCAATGAGAACAGAATATAGTTTAGTTACGGAGAATACAAAGTCATTTGGGTGCACTTCAACAATTAACAACAATTCACAGGCTTTCAACAATTAACAGTCTCAAAATGACTAAAACCTGCATGAACTTTAGTATTTAGACCCTTTTATGTCAATACTTCATCAACAGAATGTCATTACTACTAACAATGGGGCTCATCCTCAAACATGTTCCGGTAGCTGCTTATTCTCCACAGAATTTTACAGTGCTAACATGCTAACCGTCCTTTGGATGGAAGAATTGTCGTCATTGCCTCAAAACTGTGGCACAACGGTGTACATTATGTATCGTAGCCGTCATTGCTGTCCAGATGTGTGTGTTATGAGTCATCTCTTGGAGAGATTACTAAATCAGATCATGATCTAAGCGCGCTTGTCTTCGACCTTTCATATTCAGCGGAGCTACCCGCTGTGTCAGAACTAGTCTGGATGAGGCTCGAATAGCTCAGCGGTTTCCTCACAGCACACGTCAGTCACAGCGTGCAGCCAAGCAGAGCGTCTTCACATCCACCCAGAGAACAGAGTGCGCCGCGCGCTGCTAGCATGGGTCTCTCTGCTTCTGATGTGGTATTCTGAAGCACTGCGAGGCCACTATCTCTCTGTGACAATCTCATCTCGTTTTTGTTACACTATTCACTGTTAGTTTTGTTGTTTATGTCTGCGAAACGCTGCTTCGCTTAAAGGAGTAGTTCAATGAAAAATCACAAACAACTTACATAATTTCACTCAGCCAGGACATGTTTAGTGTCCCAAGTTGGTTCCTTTAGCGCTGCACTGGAGCTACGAGGCTAATGTAGCTAACAAGCCATGGACAAAAGCAGAAGCAGGTGTGTTGCTACTAGGCTATGAGGCTAATTTAGCTAACAAATATTGGACAGTGAGAGACTTGAGATTACTTAAAGGGGAAGTCCACTGATTTTACAAAAAATTCTACAAAATTAAAGGGTTGAGATGTAATCAAAGTCATTCAGGGTGGTTTGGTGTAAAACGCTCTGTTCTAGAAAAACTTGAAGAATTGTTCACAGTGGTGGTGATAGGAACCAGACGTCCACCTCTAAAAGCTCCCTCACAGAAAGTTATTACACAAAATAGTTAGATATACGCTGCTTGGTGTCTGACACATTGTTTTAGGACAGGTTTGGGATAAAGTTTTGGCTTGAAATGTATTTTAATCCATTTAATTTAATCCATTCATGGTGAAGAGGTACATGTAGGGTGTTGCGAGACAAAAGAGTCCCCAAAGAAAACTAATTTTTTCAGATTTATGACGATTTTATGATCATCAATGTTACATATAAAAACTCAGAAGACTCGTGTAGGTTCACTGGTGGTTTTGGATGGTAAATAAAATGTCTATATATTTCTGTTGTAGTCATGGCGACCCCTGGTTCCTATCACCACCACTGTAAAGAAACCTGAGTCTCTACAATCAACCATTTCACACCAAACCACTCTGAATGGCTCTGTTTACATCTTAACAACTGAAAAATTGGTGGAATTCCCGTTCAACTCATCACGGAAAATGTCTGGAAGTATCATTCACCCCTATTTATACCTTATTCATGTTTATTTTATTAAAATAAACAAGTGAACGTTCCATTTTGTCACTACCAAAACAATCATAACACTTACCGAAACTTTACCAAATGTTTCAGTGGTGACTGTTTCGGTAGTGACTGTTTCAGTAGTGACTGTTTCGGTAGTGCCAATTTTAGCTCATTTAGCAGAACACAAAATGCTAGCCAGTACATGACCAGCAAACACAGCTTTGAACAGCTGTACACACAGAAAATCATATTGTTTTGAACTAAAACACAAAAAATTGCACAAAATATGTGTTTCGGTAGTGACAATTCTCAATGTTCCACACTGAATTTCAGACTTTGGGACACATTTACTTCAAATCAATGAGATCTAACTGCTCACCATGTGGCCACGAGGGACAGGGGTGCAGCCTCACTTCCTGCTCTAAAATGCAGGGGTGTGGCTAAAATAAGACTCCGCCTACATACTAAAACTCTTGCATTTCTGTATTGCCAATGTTGAAAACGTGGCACAGTATTTTTTCAAATAAAATATTTTACTTCAAAATGAAACTCATGATAAATTTGAATCTTAACTTCAATTTAACAGAAAAAAAGGATTTAAAAATGTATAAAAAATACAAAAAAATAAGTATTATTTTCACAAATGTAAATTTAAAGGTTAGGGTTTGGAACAGAAAACTCCCAACAGAAAGCAGCGTATAAATTATAATTTTGTATATATTCATCGTATTACTATATCAATTAATGTCTTATGTATAAATAAATCATAATACAGGGAGATTCACTCGAAAGAGGCCCCGAATATTCTGCTGTAACTCCCGTTAGGATGAAGCAATCTGAACCAAAAAAATACCCTACATACCTTGACATATGTGTAATCGATTGCATTACATGCGATGCTGGAAGTGATTTCCGTTTTCTCCCAGACACATGAAGGGGTACGGGGGTACGCACCTGGAAGGTGCAAACGGAGGGTAAACGTTGTGACGGCTGTCCTGCGCCTACCTCATCACTCCGACGCAGGACCATCCCAGCTTGTTTGATGCTCCATATATTCAGATTGCTTCATCCTAGAGAGAGTTATTACAGAATATTCGGGGCCTCTTTCGAGTGAATCTCCCTATATAATCCTTATAAATAAGGTCTGAATACATTTTCTTACTGTGGGATCACAGTTTGATTCAGTAGAACTCAGTAGAACGATCCATATAAGCTTGCATTGCTTATTAGCTACATTAGCCTCGTAGCTCCAGTGCAGAACTAAAGAAGGAAGCGTGTCTTGGCTGATCGACTGATGTTGACATGAGGCTGAAGGACTCTGATAGTTTTCCACTGGTAGTTGCAGGAGGGTGCGCTGAATGCAGCTGTCAACTCCAGTGAATCTCCGAGGTCTTGCATGGAATTAAATGGAACCGCTCCATGGCATCAGCGGCTATGGAATGGGAGGATATGGCATCATCCCATCCGAGCGATGTTTGTTTGACCTAATGTCTAAAGCGTTGACCTAAAGCGTTCGTTGTGCTGTCCCTTTGTGCTCAGAGCGATGTTTTTTCTTCTCTTTGTCTTCCCACAGGGCATCACGTTCGATGAGTTCAGGTCCTTCTTTCAGTTCCTCAACAACCTGGAGGACTTTGCCATCGCCATGCAGATGTACAACTTCGCCAGCCGCTCCATCGGACAAGGTTTTGCGTGTTTTGTATTAGATCACATAGAACTGTAGTTTCATTAAGTTACTCTGCCTCAGTATTTGGGTCATTCTACAGAAACGTCCATTTTCATGTCCCTAGCTAGTTTATAGATATATTACACTTAAAAAATCATGTTAGGGTTACAATTTATTTATATTTTAAAATAAAACAGTGTTATTTTAACGATTTCACCTTCTTGAACCTCAATTTAGCAATATTGGTTTTTAAATCAATAATCTAGAATTCCAAGCACCACAGAAGAGCTCGTCCCCACAGTCATGTGTGAAGGCTGAGGCCATATTTTGAAGAAAAAAAACACATTTTCTGCAATTTTAACTACAATAATCTATGCATGACTATGAAATATATAAATTAAATGACAAAGAAAACAAATGACAAATAAATATTATAAAATTTATCATGAAAGTTGTCCCCAGGAGTCGTGTCACTGGTGTTACCGCGTAACAGAAAAAAATTTATTTTGAAATAAAAATCACACCGATGACATCACTTTCCTTTTACCTGATTTCTGAGGATCTGTGAAGAAAAGCACATGGTGAGTCCACTGTGTCTTTCAGTTATCAGAGATTTTCTCATTTAGCTCATGATTTCATATGAAGCTTTTAGCTGAAGTCACTGGGGTGACCAACTTTATTCTTAGGTAATTGTGAATAAATAGAATACAAATGGATTAAATTACATATTTTAGTGGATATTCCATGATTGACAACATGTGGTTTGATGCTCTGTAGCAGCCATTTAGTAAAATGCATTTTGTCAATAAAAAAAGTCTCTGATGTTACCTTTATTATGTGTAACACCAATGAGGATCAGTAACACCAGTGACTCCTATGGAGAGACAGAAAAGTGGACGTTTCTGTAGAATGACCCATTTAGAAAAATTCCCCAAAAATCAGAAAAGAGCAAAAGCGCGTCATGTGACTTTTCAAACCACTGACAAGGCAAAAAATATTAATTTTACTGAAATGTTTTAGACTTTTATACTGATAGACCTCCAGCTTTAAACATGAAAGTAGAAAACATTTTAAAACGGCTAAACTGTTTATTACATCAGCCCAAATTCAAATCTTACATGATGATAAACACAAGGGTCCTGAAAAGTCCCTCTCAAAAGGGCATTCCGGCCTAAAAATAGCATTTAGCTAATGTTATTGTCATTCTATGTAATATTCTGTAGCGCAGCGCTGCTTCCCTCTGCCTCAAATTCACGATTTTGGATCTTTTGTTGTGTTGTCCTCCATCTGTGTTCTCTCACTACAGTTCCCAGCATGCCTTTCCTGCTTCCCACAGCGATAAACATATCCACTGATTGACGTAGAGGCTAATAGACGTGATATTCTGCTTCCTAGCAGTAGCGACCGTGTGCCGATCTTCACAGCTGGTCTACTTGTAGTTTTTTTTAAACATTCCTTCCACCTTCAAGATACATCATCAGAAGGGGACGATCCTAGTCTTTAAAGCAAACAAATCTGACTCGAGAGACTTGTGGCTCGGCTGTAGGAGGCGATTAGGCATGTTTAGGGCAGATCTATTGACGGTTACATTGTGGATTTTGGCCAGAATTCCCCTTTAAGTAAGAGTAATGCTAGCGTCGTGCAACTGACCTTAATTTCCATAAAGAAAATGGCCCATAAAAAAGTAAACAAAGCCATTTGACTACTTGAGTGACCACTTTGAGTTCCCTGAAGTTCATATTCGCCTCACAAATGAGGTTCTAACTGTCAAGGTTTGACCATTTCAGCATTATTTTGGAAAGTTAGCATACATTAGCCAGCATTTGCTAAATCCGACATTAGCCAAATTAGCTTCAGGTTTAATAAAGAGCTGTTTGTTAGTCTAAAACGATAATATACACCTTTAATAAGGATGGTGCTTCAAGCGTTCTTTAATGAAGGCAGTGGTTCTATTTAGAACTCATGGTGGTAAATAGAACCCTGCCTTCAGTAAAGAGCCCTTTAAGAACCATCATTAAGAGTGTAGTACAAGAAGACAGTTGCTATTTACCCAAGGTTAGTTAGCGAGTTGGCTAACTGCTTTCTCATGTTAGAGGTTCAGTTGCAGAAAGTTGTGAAGATTTTTAAAGAAGGCAACTTTTAAAACCTGTTAAAACTGACTGTGGCTGAATTTAATGGTTTCTGAAAAAATACTCAAGTAACAGTAAAATTATTGTTTTAATTATATTGAATAATATCTTTGTGTTTGTGTGTCAGATGAGTTTGCGAGGGCCGTGTACGTAGCGACGGGGCTGAAGCTCACGCGCCACCTAGTGAATACCATCTTTAAAATCTTCGACGTGGACCACGATGACCAGCTGAGCTACAAAGAGTTCATCGGCATCATGAAGGACAGACTGCACCGCGGAGCCCGGGTGAGAGAGAGAGAGAGAGAGAGAGAGAGAGAGAGAGAAGAGAGAGAGAGAGACAGAGAGAGAGAGAGAGAGAGAGAGAGGGGAGAGAGAGAGAAAGAGAGGGAGTGGGGGATGAAAGAGGTTAGTGCCGTTATTACAACTTTGCTGCCATCTAGTGGTGGATAATGATTATTTCTCTACACAGACACACTCGCAAACAATTGTGCAAAAGTTTGGGCACCCTCGGTCAACAAAAAGTGATTTGACCAGGGGGACCCAAACTTTTGCACATGAACATACATATATTTTTATACACTTCCACCTCCTTGTTTCTACACTCTCTGCCCATTTTATCAGCTCCACTGACCATACAGGAGCACTTTGTAGTTCTACAGTTGCAGACTGTAGTCCATCTGTTTCTCTGCATACTTTGTTACCCTGTTCTTCAGTGGTCAGGGCCCCCATGGACCCTCACAGAGCAGGCACTATTTGGGTGGTGGATCATTCTCAGCACTGCAGTAACACTGATGTGGTGGTGGTGTGTTAGTGTGTGTTGTGCTGGTACGAGTGGATCAGACACAGCAGTGCTGCTGGAGTTTTTAAACACTGTGGCCACTCACTGTCCACTCTATTAGACACGCCTACCTTGTCAGTCCACCTTGTAAATGTAAAGTCAGAGACGATAGCTCATCTGCTGCTGCACAGTTTGTGTTGGTCATCCTCTAGTCCTTCATCAGTGGTCACAGGACGCTGCCCACAGGACGCTGTCAGCTGGATGTTTTTGGTTGGTGGACTATTCTCAGTCCAGCAGTGACACTGAGGTGTTTAAAAACTCCAGCAGCACTGCTGTGTCCGATCTACTCAGACCAGCACAACACACACTAACACACCACCACCACGTCAGTGTTACTGCAGTGCTGAGAATGATCCACCACCCAAATAGTACCTGCTCTGTGAGGGTCCATGGGGGTCCTGACCACTGAAGAACAGGGTAAAAGGGGGCTAACAAAGTATGCAGAGAAACAGATGGACTACAGTCTGTAACTGTAGAACTACAAAGTGCACCTATATAGTAAGTGGAGCTGATAAAATGGACAATGAGCGTAGAAACAAGGATCGGTGTGTGTATACATATATATATATATATATATATATGATATATATATATATATATATATAACATACATTCAGTCAGGTGTGTACAAACTAGTTCCTTGACTGGTATTGTTTAATTTTTCATATCTAACTAAACTGCCACTACACTTATGTGTTATTAATTATTTGTGCATGGATTATTAACCTTGTAATGAATTGCTGATGCCTCACAGGCTTTGCTTACCTTTCTTTATTAATGCACTGAGTACCTGTGTTACTGTACTGACTCTATAGACCTCTGAAGTCGTGCGTCATGCTGTGGTCACCATCACCCCCTTATAAGGCAATCTGGGACCAGGCTGGTTTTCTCTACGGGGAAAAATGAACCGTGTTTTTGAAATACGCTGCAATCACTTCCTGTGGTGTATCAGCTTTGGAACACTTGTTTAGCACAGAGAGCAACAGTGTTCACTTTCCCATAGAGTAAAACAGCTTAGTCTCAGATTGCCTTATATGGGCGTTACTCCGACTACTAACTTCAGAGCTCTGTTCTCTCGTTTATTCTCTCTCTCTAACTCTGTTGCATGCCTTCCTTCTCTCCCTCACCCCTCTTACCCCTCTTTCCTTCTGTGCTGCTCACCGTCTCTCTGGCTGCAGGGCTATAAGGCTGTAGAACGTTACACTTCCTTCAGGTCGTGTCTGAAGAAGGAGCTGGCAGGAAGATAAGTACAAACACATCTGTGTGCATCTCACTATGGGGGACCAGATCACTCAGAATAAACCATTAAAGCGACATTTCACCAGAAAATCATATTTATGTACAGTCAGAATCAAAAGTTTGGGTGCTCCTGGTCAGATGACGTTTTTTTGATTTTCTAAGTGGAAACAAGTTTTAACATTTTCTCCACTTATTTTCTCAAATATGTTTACGTAGTATCTCAAAATAATTATGTATTTTTTTCAAAATTTTGACTTGGTATTTCGACATCATTTCTTTTTTCTCAAAAGTTTGACTTAGTATCTCGAGAAAATTACTTAATTATCTCCAAATAATGACTTTGTATTATTTGTATCTCAAAGTAACTTTGTTTTCAAAATACTGACTTAGTATCTTGAAATAATGATGTATGTTTTGCAAAATATTAATTTAGCATCTCAAAATGACAATTTTTCTGTATAATGATTTAATGTCTTGAAATAATGACTTATTTTTTCAAAGGTTTGACTTAGCATCTTGAAAAAATTACTTATTTTCTCAAAGGTTTGTCTCAGGATCTCAAAATAATGACTTATTTTCTTTAAAGTTTGATTTAGCATCTTGAAAAAATTACTTATTTTTTCAAAATACTAATTTAATGTCTTGAAATAACGACATTTTCTCAAAATGACAACATAGTATTTTAAAATACTGACCTATTCTCAAAATATTGACTTAGTATCTCAAAATAATGGCATTTTATCCAAATATTATCTTAATATCTTGAAAAAAATTATTTTCTCAAAATTTTAACACAGTATCTCAAAGTAATGACTTGTTTTCTCAAAATATTAGCTTAGTACCTCAAAATCATATCTTTTCTCAAAATACTGACTTAGTATTTCAGAATAATGACCTATTCTCCGAATATTGACTTTGAATATCAAAATAGGGACTTTTTAGAATGTTATCTTAATATCTTGAAACTTGCTTACTTTCTCAACATTTTAACATTATTTTGTCAAAGTACTGACTTACTATCTTGAAATAATGACTTATGTTCTCAAAATGTGCAATTTGTATGTCAAAATAATGAATTATTTTCGCAAAATATCAATGTATTAAAAAAAACTACTTAAGTTGTATCTCAAAATAATTTGTGCAACATTTTTGACATTTTTTGTTTCAAAATAATCACTTGTTTTCCCAAGATGTTCAATCAGTATCACAAAATAATGACTTATTTTCAAAAGTGACTTAATATCATGAACTTTTTTTTTCTTAAAATGATGATTTTGAATTGTTTTTTGTTTGCTTACCAAATGTTGTCAACAAGACCCCTTTGGTGTTTTCTTCTTTTGTTTTGCACTGGAGCTACGAGGCCAATGTAGCTGAGAAGTAATAGAAGCTTTTACTCCACCAATTAGCACAGCGCTGACTGCATTCCTAAAATATCATATACTTGCTTATCATACAGCATCAGAAACCACATAATCAATCTATAAGAGATTACTGGACCACTCCACCCAGGTTTGGGCGAGTCTGTGATGGTTTAGCGTCAGTTAGCGCCATGCTAATGCTAATATGCTTCCATTACTTGTTAGCTACATTAGCGTTGTAGCTAATGAAGCACCAAACATGTCTTGGTGGATCAGCTACATTTACAGTAAGTCAAGAAAATTTTGCCAAACTACTCCAAATGCTAACTCGCTAGCAAAGCGGTCCCAGTAATAACTTCTGTTCATTTGCTCTTTTTCTCTCGTGCACCAGGTGAACAGTGGGTCCTTCCTCACCTGCATGCGCTCAGAGGCAGGGCAACACGTCCACCAGCTCTGGAGGCAGTTCCGCAAGATGGACTAACATCATCGTCATCGTCATCATCGCCGCTGTCTTCAGAGGTCTGCTAAATACAAAGAGAGGCAGCTGCCTCTTTTCAGTCCAGCCTCAACTCTGCATGTAGCAAAGCCTTGCATGACTTTCCCTTTTTAAACAGGACGCCTTCCCTCTTTCTCCTAATGCTTCCACTGGGGCTGGACTGGACTGTACGTTTCACTAATAATGCAATATGCAACAGCGGTCAGTCATCTGTACCAGTACAGAACAGTTTCAAAACAAACCAAAAGCCCAGTTCACATTTATCTGACGAGACAATCGAGTGTTAGAACGTTACAGACAGCGCTTTAAAAGAACATTATCGCTGAAACCCGCTAGAACAACTTCATTTTAACCTAGATAGCACTTGATAAAGGGATTAAACCATCTTCAATGTAGGAAAGACAACGGTTCTATATAGAACCATGAACCTCTCAAAGAACCATTGCATGATTAAATGGTTCTTCAGATTATTGTAGACTATGTTGCATCTGGTTCTATATAGCACCTAAAAAGGGTTCTGCTACTGTTACGATGTCAAGCTTGTTACACTAAAAAATCTTTTTGGTGCTACAGAGAACCATATACAACCATTTCTCCATGCAAAGAACCCTTTAAGCATGCAAATGTTTTTTTGAGTGTTCATGGTTCTATATAGAACCACTGTCTTTACTAAAGAGCCCTCGAAGAACCATCTTTGTGTCCATAATAAAAAAACATTGTCTTAATGCTTGTCAACTGCCTGTAGATGAGTTAGACCAATCAAACCTCCATGTGTTGTGACATCACAACCACGACTTACTGGCAGGTTGCCACACTGCATTCAGGTGTCAAGCCTCCCTGAAGGGATACCGTAACAAGCATGTAACGTCCTAGCAACCACCTGGGATATCCCAGCAGCCACCTATCAACACCCTAGCAACCCCCTGGGATACCATAGCAACCACCTAGCAACACCCTAGCAACCACCTAGCAACCACCTGCGATACCATAGCAACTGCTTATCAACACTTCTGCACCCACCTAAAACACCATAGTAACTGTTCACCAGCACCCTAGCAACCACCTGGGACCTGCTTAAACTGTAAACCTAAATCTAAACCTCTGCTCAAATTGCCTTTAACACATACTATAACTGTCTTATCTTGTCAGATGAGCGTGAACTGGGCTTAAAACGTTCAATGGCAAAGAGACTCATCTCTCCTTTCCTAATTTCTTGGGACGTAAAGCGTCTCTTCTTATTTCTTTTGCTGTGCGCAAACTCAGTCAAGCCTATTTCACAGTTATCAATACTAAAATGCTGCACTTTGGCCTTTTATCTGCTGTTACATTCAGCCAATGTATATGCACACACTAAAGCTAATATATATTTCTGCATTGCAGAACAATAAATAAATGAAGGGAAAAGAGTGAAAAAGAACAAGAGAACTATCCAAGCTAACACTAACATGAAGGAAAGACGATGTATTTAGCTGCCTGATCAAACTTTCCAATGAAGGAGGTCCAAAAAATGTTGATAACAAGCAAATAATGCACAAACAGTAGCTGGATTTGAGGTTACACTTGATTGTTTACTTCTGTTTGGCTCATTTATGTGAGCAAAAATCAGAGACGTCTTAATAAAAAACACTCATGAAAGTGCACAACAAGTTTGTTTGCCATGCTCTGTTTTGGTAATCTGTGGTTCTGAGCTGGTACCACCCTTATAAAAAGAGCTGCAGTTTTACTGACCAGTGTAGTATAATATTTCAGTACTGTAATGTACCTGTGGGCATCCAGGACCAGAGCAACCACCTAGCAACACCCTAGCAAACACCATAGGATAACATAGCAACCACCTAGCAACGACCATAGCAACAACCATAGCAACCACCCAGCAACCACATGGGATACAATAGCAACCACCTAGCAACACCCTAGCGACCACATGGGATACCATAGCAACCACCTAGGATACCATAGCAACCACCTAGCAACACTTGGGATACAATAGCAACACCCTAGAAACCACATGGGATACCACAGCAACCTGGCAGCCTGGCTCAGCTGTACTACTGTAGCTCTTTTTCATACAGGCTGGCAGTTCAGCAGCTCAGAGCTACATCTTTAGCGCACATTTGACTTTCTGTCTTTTTATTTTCTCAAAGACCAAAAGATGAAACATATGATTCTTTGTCTACAGGCCAGTTTCACTATGACTGAACATGATTCCTCTGTTACAACCCAAAGAACTGTGTGTGTGTTTTGTTGTGTGTTTATGACAGTTTATGAAGTGTTTATGATCATAGAATGTATCACTTTCTTCCATTTTTCATGGATAACAGCAGCTGTTACGTTTGCACTGCCTGCATTATTTGTCAAACAGACGTCGTGTATCTTAACGCCGACCATGAAGAGTCTGTGTTCATCTGGAATAAAATGAAGTTAAATGAACGAATAGTCCTGTTTTCTTATTGCATATAAACTGAGCTCATCACACTTCATGTGAAAATAGAGTTTACCAATAATTATTTAGGACAGCTGTCTTAAATGTTTTATGCCATTTTGGGGAATTTCAGAAATTCTTCCAAATTTCTGCATAATTAAATGGTTCAGATGTAAACAGAGTCATTCAGAGTGGTTTGGTGGGAAAGAGTCCTTTCTAGAGAAATAACACGTCACAATGGTGGTGATAGGAACCAGACGTCCACCTCTAAAAGCTCCCTTACAGAAAGCTATAAGGCCACCACTGTTAAAAAAACAAGTCTCTACAATAAACCACTTCACATCTAATCCATCGAATTCTATATGAAAACGTATGAAAAACCACAGAACTTATCTGATTGCCTTTCAAACGGATAAGGGCACGTTCCTAACACATTTGATCACTTTTCCCATATTTGTCCCCATAAACAGCTCAGAATACATAGGTCCCACTTTATATTGTGTCTCTAGTAACTGTGTAGTTACATGTGAATAACATATGCAACAACATTGTAACTACTGATGATTAAGTCACTGTTATAGACGGATTACAGAACTTCACCTTATGTAATTACACGTGTGTATCACCTTCAGTTTTGCCTCATGTAATTACACTAGTGTACCATAATAGTGGTAACAGTCTGTTCTCTCTCATGTAATTACACAAGAATAATAACATGAATGTAATTACATTTGTAATCAAACTAGAACAGTGATATGTGATATGTGATAACTCACATTAAGACATTACTTACACTGTATCTGCCAGCCTTCCTAACATTTAGCTGGCATTAATGTTGTAGGTGCTGTGACACTGTAACCAGTTTCAGCTTTAATAAATCATACTGTAATGTGACAGAACAGCAGACGCCCCCTTATGTCAACATGTAACTGTTATGATATTAATTAAAAGTGTTGCATTAAACCCAAAGCAATGACTATGTTATCACCCCATTATTACATAGTAACAACATGATAACTACACAAAAACTACCCACTTATTTTTCAGTGCAACTTTGTCACTAAACTACAGGTAAGTTCTTGTGTAGAAAACAAACTTGTCGAACTACATGACGCAAAACTGACATTAACATACATGTGCAATTACATAAAATAACCTGTTGTTAACTTTCTATAACATTATTTAGTTCATTAATAATTATGTTCTTACTTCTTTAATAATAAATTTGTAACTGAATGACTTTTCCATGTGGAATGGTACAAAATACTACTACGTCTAACTGTCTTAACATTAAGCACATTCTATCATTAACCAAGTTCAACAGACATCTAACCGCTCTGATCATACCTCTTTCCTCCTGACTGTGAAACACAGCAGGAACGTTCATCAATGATGGAAAACAAACAATTTTACTCATTATTCTCCATCCGATTCACGCTCAGAAAGAAGTATCTTAACTCGTCATCGTGGTTAGAGAGACGTAACACTTTCGAATCGAATTTCCAAGTCAGAAACTATAGAAATGATCCCTGAAAGTATAGTCTTAACGTGTCAACGCTGAAGTCAGGGCTCTTCCATCCACACACAGCGGTTCACCCCGATGGTGAGCGGTTGATCCTCAGCGCTGAGAGCGCGTGTGTACCCCCGAGCACCGTTTATATCGCAGTCCGCTCTCTGTTTCCTCTCGATCGCGGCGTTTTATACGTTACTTTCGCCGCGCGGTGAGAAAAACAACGGCGCGCGCGGACATGTGGAAGTGCAGTTTGTAGCTCGGCTTGACTCGGTTTTCTATATTAAACCTGGAAACATTAAAGATTTGTGTTTTCACGGCTTATGTTTATCATTAAAAAACAGTTTATTTTGTTGTAAACTGTTTTACCCACAATCCCTCAGCTGCATAAATAACCCGTTGCCACGACAACCGCTCCTCTTCAGAGCCGTTAGACTCGAAGCGCTGCGTTTGAGACATTTTCACCTTTATTTCACTCCCAGGTGACCGTGAATCTACCGACATTTACATTTTCATGAAAATCACCTTTTATTTCTGTTAGAAAGACATTTTTGTGATGCAGCTACGAGCGGCTCGTACCGGTTCCGTCAGCCACAGCTGCTCGGTGTGAAACACGTTCTCTCTTCTAAGTTCCGGGTGACGGTCCGCTCGCCATGTGAGCAGAAGGAGGCTGTGTCTCAAATGGTTCCCTACTCACTTTAAAGTGTACACTGTGGAATAGCGGCTTTTTACACCCAAACAGCGCATTATATGTCGAATAAAGAGCTATTTATTTTCAGCCATAAGCTGCACGACTCCCTGTCTAACATTTAGGGTACTACTTGGGTGTAGAAAACATTCTCATGACGTATCTAGTGCACTACATAGGGTGTAGGGAGTCATTTGAGATTTAACCCCAGTTTAAGAGAGCAGCCTGCAGAGAACTTACCACACTGTAATGTGTTCTGGGTTTGCAAACGCTAGAGGGCGCTCCCGAGCGAGTCCAAAATGAACGGGTTGATATGGAGCATTTGAGCAAAATCATAGTTTATAAATGCTTAAACATTTTTAATATAAAAGACTACATTCATTTCCTGAACACTGAACAGCACAAAACATTTAAACACTGCTGTTACACTTTTAAGAGCTATAGAAGTTTAAAACGCCACCTCATGCATGTTCAGGACGTCTGTGAGCCCGAACAGCCAATGAGCTGCTCCGCTCGCTGACCAATCAGCACTCAGTAACAGTAACGTTAGCGTCCTGCTGCCCAAAACCCGTTTGCTGTAGAAAAAAGGAAACATACAGGGGAGTTTTCTTTGCTTTTTTAGTGAAATACATCCTTCTACTTTACATAATTAAAGGAAAGTTCTGGGCGAGTGATTAGAAACTATTTTCACTTTTAGTTTTTAGCCGGTTAGCTCCATTCACCCCATTCATTGAGGACTCGCTCATGGGCATCCTCTAGCGTTTTGCAGCCATGTTTTTGATATAACAGGGGAGATAGGAAGAGGCCAGGCTCCTCATAAACCAGCTCTGGAGCCTGCTCATGGCAGTGACTAGCTATGAGGACATCAAGGTAGTTT